TTTAATAGAAATTATGTTTTTCAGGCCTTGTCTTTTTTTTTTAATTCCAGTTCCACCTTGTTGGCTTTTATCATGGAGTTGTTGAAGAACTCAATTGCTATGCAAGAGCAGGTGCTTGCCTGTAAGGGTTTCTTGGTTATAGGATATAACCTTGAAAAGGTAAGAGTATGAAATGCTATAAGTTTTTGGTTCTTAATTTTCACAGCATAGATTTGTATTACTAAATAATTAAGAAATTCTGTTTGCTTGTAGTTACGTATTTGCTTCTGTGTTATATAAAATTACCTAAATATTAAATAACTTTTTATTTTATATTGTCTGTGTGTCCAAATGTGAATTGGAGCTTTGTGGTATTTATAGCTTGAGCATAGCTTGTGGGTCAACTATTTTCTGATATTGACAGCTTATAGATTTATTTATTTTACCTTGAGTTGTTATTAAACTTTGAACTACTTCTCTTTATAGTCTTCCAAATCCCACGTAAGCAGAGCAGTTCTTGAACTTTGCCTTGCATTTTCCAAGTATCTTAGTAATCTACCGAGTGGGATGCCCCTACTCAAGCAGTTGTGTGACCATATTCTTCTCAACCCTGCAATATGGATTCATACTCCTGCCAAGGTAATACATACGCATTTTGTTTTACTGTCTGCAGTTACGTGTAAAGTACATGTGTTTGTGTTTTGAGAAAAGTGGCAGTTGTGAGGACTTCTTTTATCCTTTTTCTGTGCCAAATTCATGGGATGGTACATCAAGGTACAACACAGGAAAGGGAAATCAAGGAGGCTGGGAAGATCACTCTCTATTCACAGTCCCCGGAGACAGGGTGGCACAGCCTACTGTGACACATGGCCAAATCAGGAATTGCACCTGGGGGCGAGGTAACAATACACTGGAATTGCAGACAAGGGCTTGTGTGTATGGCAAGCAGGGTATGGTTAGCTGCATTGTGCTGGCTTCCAGGGTACTAGACATTGTAAACAGTTTTGCAGGCTTAGAAGGCCTGAGAGGACTGTCCTTAGCTGTTGGGTACCTCATCTTGAGTGGCCAAAAGGACAAGTGCATCCAGGTCCAGAAGTGTGAGAACTAGATAAGGGAATGGCGTCAGAGTGGGTTTAATTAACTACTCCAGAGGGGAACTTGAGTGGCATCTAGCCAGTACCTCAAGGCAACATTTTAAGAAAATGGCATTGCACTTTTTATGTCTTAGTATGTAAGTCTCAGTGGATTACATTTTTAAATTACCGTGTGTATACTTGAGTATAAGCTGACTGGAATATCAGCCAAGGCACCTAATTTTACCACAAAAACTGCATTAAAAATGTGCTAAACACACCCTGGTCCACCTTGACAATGATATTCCTGTTCAGATATTCCAAGCCTTGACAATGATATTCCCGTTCAGAGCAGCCAATCCACAGAGGAGACCACATGGCCTCCTGTGAGACAGGACAACCCTCACTGACCCATAGCCCCACAGGGGACAACACTAGAGACACAGTGTGGGAATTGTGCCCGATCTGATCCCACCACACTGAGGCAGAATACTGAGGACATGCAGTCCCCAGGGAATACCAAAAATAGACTTTGGGCCAGGGATTGGCACCGCATCAGACTCTATCGGTAAACACTCCTAAAGGCCAACAAACAGTCTTTGAACTAACTACAGGCTTTTCTTTTTTGTTGTTGTTGTGTTTTGTATTTTTTTTGTTTTGTCATTGGCTTTTTGTTGTTATTATTTTGTTTTCTTTTGTTGCTTTGTTTTGGTTTTTGTGCGTGTTACTATGTCTGCAGGTCTGTCTAAATAAGATAGGCTGGACGAACAATCTGGAGGAGAAAACAACCGGACCAATGATTCCGGGGGTCATGGGAGAGAGGCAGGTGGGGGGAAAGGAAGTGGTGCTAACAAACCCAGGGACAAGGGAACAATAAGTGTTCCAAATCGGTGGTGAGGAGGGTGTAGGAGGCCTGGTAGGGCGTTATGAAAGGTAATGTAACTGAAAGGAATTACTGAAACTCAAATGAAGGCTGAACATGATAGTGGGACAAGAGGAAAGTCAAAGGAAATAGAGG